AACATATATGCCTCAATTCTGTAGTAGCAAGATCGAGTTACAACACAATGAATATTAATTCCGAGAATACACTCAGTGGACTTACAGGCAATGGACCTAGTGAATCGATACGATTCACGTTATTTATACTATACAAATTGAGAAATTGAAACAGACGGATATGAACGAGTTGGAAATGAAAATAAATACGTGTCAAAACCGTAAAACGGTTCATCCAAATGATGTAAGAAATATTGAAGATGCATTACAGAATTTGAAACGTTCAATCAGTAAACTAAAACCGGATACATTTAATGTTGACGTTAAATTACCTTGTGAAGTACACTTAGATACAGCGTTGGAAAACATTAAACAACAGCAACAACTATTGAATGAGAAAGATAAGCAAATAGATCATTATCGAAAAACGTATATTCCGATTTCGGATAAGAAAAAGGAATTTCGTGCATTTTTTATGAAATTGGGTGTGTCTGTGCTATACGATTACGTCCTTGTTGGTGACAAAGTTAGAATAAATTCAAATGGATTTTATAAACCAAACATTCATTACAAGACTGGAACAATCGTCGCTGTGAAACAGCAGACAATTATAGTAAGATGGGACAATGGAATCGAAATCGCTTATGAGTGTGATGGTAAAAGACATGATTTACTGTGGGATATAACTGTTCCGGATATTACTTTTTAATAAAAGTATTCAATTTAACTTTAACATCATCAGGAAGATCGATATTTGAAGCAACGTTTTATCTTAATAATGATTGTTTTTTGGCAATGTAAGAAATTCTTACACAAACGTTGTTTTATCTTGTATCAAAAAAGCTTTTTCTTAACAAATGAAATCATCTCTCTAATCCTTTGGATCCTACTTTATCTTGTATTTGGAAATTTCTTTTCTTTCTGCATTTAAATGTGTAACAAACCAAATCACCATCCAGATATATCGATTTCACCTTTCGTTGTTTCATAACTTCTACTTCAAATTTTGACATTTAATTCTCTGCTTGTTTGACTATAAATACAAGAGTCAAGAATCATTACTGCGCTATGCTTTATAATTCCTCTATCAAACAGAACGAAAACGGGTAGACAGCTGTTTTTTATTTATCAAAGTACTTACTTGCTGAAATTATTTGCAGACCAAAGACATCACGCGGATGTTTTTATAGCATTATGCTAATAGCATTATTCATTCTGGTACAACAGAAAAAATCTAAAACGTTTGAATACTTTACAATGTCAACAGAACTTCCAATAATAATTTATGGAGTTATGAGTATTTTCATGATAAATGAGAAGAGCCTAAACTAGACTAGTTTTGGTTAGATTGGATTTTTAATAACTTTTTGAATACTTCCGAAAACGAATCTTTATCAAATTTCTCGTTCTATACATTGTTTTTCGAGTTTCGATTGAAATAAAGCACCTTGTACTGGATATACTTTTCACATGTCATTTTTAATGCACTTTTTCGGTACGAGATATAAATAAATGTTGAATAAAATTCCCTCTCCAATTTGTGCATGTATATGTTACAGTGATAATTAAACTTTCAGTCTCTACTAGTGCAAGTAAATGCCTGCATATGTGATAAAACAAGGATTCTCGTTAAATAAAGCTTTGAAGAAGATATAGTTAAGAAATTATCAGAGTAAGATTACAACACCCGGCGGATATTTCAAGACGTGGGATTAAGCGAGAAATCAATATTCCAAGAACAATGATCTTAATCATGACAAGACATTACCGCGAACCGCCATTATGTCCACATAGATCATAGGAATTTTTCTCCCAGCTATATTAGGGACTGAAAAGAGGGTAGTGTGAGAGTGAGTTCGAAAAGTACTTTAGTTATCAATACCCAATGTGTACTACGAAAAATTTGTCACTTATGGTCTATGTCGACATAGTCCATCAGCGGATGCCAACACAGACCACAGGAAAAATGTTCAGCTCCTACATATAGCCTATGGCCTATGTGGTAATGGCGGTTCGCGGAAATGGCGCTGTATCGATCTTAAGCACTGCAAAGTCTTTCATAATTTGACGGCTCCGTAACAACACTATTTTCTCTCTCACTTCTACGTCTGGAAATACCGACCGGGTGTTGCAATCTTGCTCTGATAATTCCTAAACTAAAATATCTTCTTCAAAGCTTTTCCCTTGACTGAAAGAAAAGGGCCTTCAAACGAGGTTTTTGTGTTGTTTTTACCGCTACTTTCAGTGGTTTCCTACCGTTTTTGGTCACTTTCTTACTGACTTTCACGATTCTGCCAGCGTTACTATTATGTTCTCGTACTTAGTATGTTCTAGAATGTTCCGCATAATCTTCAGATTTAACTGTGGTGTGAAATGTCTTAAGATTTTTGAGTGTTTGAATTTAGTATAGTAAAACAATCATTGAAATTGGCACAGTGCTGCAGCTATTATTCGGTTTTGAACGTCCATGTAGGTAGCAAAAGCGCTAGATCAAAAGTTACTATCAGTATAGAAGAACACAGTATAGATCGTGTAGTAATGTATAGCAAAATAATCCGCAGCACATGCCTCACAGGTTCCATGACTGAAAATTTTGGCTTTTTTACTAAGATGCTCTTTTCACGATCTGGAGACCAGATTTCTATAGACGATGAAGAGGAGGACAGCTTTATAAAATCGAGAAAAAGTTACTTATAGACAGCTGAGCTAAACGGTAATAATCTCGTCATTATTGACTTTAACCCTTTCGGGACTGGTGACGTTTTAAAACATCATTAAATTCCACGTTATCTAACACAAGAGAATTCGAATTTTTTCTCGTCTCTTCGTAGTAAACGTTTTGTTATCGCCCTATATATGGCCCTTAGATTGCTACAAAGAGGAAGATTGATGCAGAAATAAATTCAAGTGGATTCAGATCTCAATCATTTTTGAAAAGGTGAGAAATTTGTAATTATCACTCGAAATAAGCCGGTCTGGAAAGGGTTAAATTGAAACGGCAGTTGCAAGAATAAAACAATGACGATATAATTTATATTTGTGTAGTAAATAATGATCCCTTGGATCTTTTAGCAGGTAATGTTCGAACATGCAAAGATTGCTGTACAGGAAAGCGGATCGTTCATCGTCCCGTTTCTAACATATTACATATTGAGCGAATGTTTGTATATCTTACTGATGTAAACACACGGGGAGTGGAACGATACACAATGTCTCGAAAATATCTGTGCGAAAGATAAGTTGCATTTATAGACATCTTGGCGACAAATGGGGTTTGGTCTTCAACGTTCTTTTTTTAATATTTTACTGAACTTTATTCCGTTTTTAAAGCAAAAAAATACAAATTGTTTCTCTCACGCTTTGTCTCTCTCTTCGAGTTTGTGTGGATAATATTGAGGACGAGATCTTCCTTATTCTATTTTTGTAATGCTATATTGGAATCAAGGTTTTCTTTTTGGCAGAAAATTAAAATTTTAGCAGATCCTACAATATGGAAACGACCATACTTATCCGACAGCCCATTCCCTCATCAGGATAAAGAAGAACCAAAACTACTCAACATTTTTTCATACTTTTTATCTTATGAACAAAAAGGAGAAATAGAAGAAGCTGCGTAGATAACAACCACAGATGATCAAACAGCTGTTCCTTCAGTAGCTGCGTAAATTAGAGATTTACGCAATTTGAAAATCAACTAAAATTTCGGAATACTGATTGATTGATTTTTATCTGTTTTACTAAAGTAAAAAGTAAAAACAAAAGTTTTATTTACTTTTTACAAAGTAAAAGAAAAAGTCCAGTTTACTTTAACTGTAAAGGTAGAGTAACAAACTTGTTTTACTTTACTTTTCATGACAACAGTATATCGTTTCTAGCATGAGAATGATATAATATTGAGATAAATACAAGGTACAAACCACGAGCAATTTATTCCAAGGTTGATACTATCCTTTCGCCGTTAGAAAGTAGTTTAAATCTTACATATGCTTTTTAACAGTGAATCAGCTTCGCCTTTTATAAGTAAAAAAACTTTTTACTTTTACTTGGTACTTTTGTAAAGTAAAACGTTTTGCCTACTTTACCCGGCAAAGTGGAAAAGGTAAAAGCCACTGCTTGCTTCGATGACTCGAATAACTTCGCGAAGAACAACTCAGGCCACCATAGGCGACGAACTATGAAAAGAAATTTCGCACGCATAATTTGAATTTGAGAAAATTCATAAACATCTCCGCTTTATGAGCTGTCCGCCATCGAGTCTCTTTACTTCAAAGCTACAAATGCCTCAAACACTTTAAAAGATGCGTGCTATCTAATAAAGACTCGATAAACTCTGAGGGCTCCGAGAGACTCCTCGGGGCTACCATGGGAATCGTAGTGATATGCGGAAAGTGCTTCGGTTAACGACTCGCAGCGATATGATTAAAGCTCACGTTAGTGGACAAATGGAAAAAGTTTGACTATTGTAAGATCAATATTCAGACTATGATTTTATTTCTCAGATTAACTCCTATCTGAAACTCTTTTGTATAATCAAACACTTGTCTAATTTGCTGTAATGCTCGTTAGACTGAATATCCGTGTGCGTGTGCGATGAACTGTGGTAAGAAAAGAAGAAGTGACATTGCTCTCTGCGATAAGGAAGTCTCACAAAACTAATCGCAATGAATTTTGGGAGTTCGAAACAACGGTGAATGTTCTCCACTTTCAGATTTGAGAATCAAATCGATTGGTATGTGTCAGCACGTTGATTCTTTGACAACCGTTTTATGTGATCAACAATCGTACACATTATGTCCACATTGTTCTCAAAAACTATGTCTTGATCATATAAACGATCATCAGTTGATAGTTAAAGAAAACCTTGCAATGACCGTTGATTGTACAAATGTTGTAAAAATGAAATTAGATGATTTTAATGAAATTAATGAAATGAAATTTAATGCACTTCAAAATCTTGACACGTGGAAAAAAGAAATGGCAGAATTTATTACAAAAGTTCATGATGAAAGTGTAGAAAAAATTACGTTTTGTTATCGCCCTATATATGGCCCTTAGATTGCTACAAAGAGGAAGATTAATGCAGAAATAAATTCAAGTGGATTCAGATCTCAATCATTTTTGAAAAGGTGAGAAATTTGTAATTATCACTCGAAATAAGCCACTCGAAATCTGCAAGCATATGCAGACTGAAATTTACGTTTTTGTTCTGTATTATATGCTGTTTTGAAGCTATTTTTACTTCCAGACATTAGATGCATCAATATACAGATGATTACATATAAGAAATTTTTCCTTTTGCGAGCTTTCGCTCTCTCCGAGAGCATCAGCAGGCAAATTCTTATTTAAAGTTCATTATTATTTACTACCCGTATAAGGCTTCGTTCATAAATTATGAGTCAACCTTTAATTCTACTGTGTTTTTTTTCTCCAATCCAATACTGTTCCATACTGTCACCATATTACTGTTTCAATGAGATCTTATTGAAAGCCCAATGTTGAAATTTCTTCGTTAATAATGCCTCTTTAATTTCAGTTTTTTTAATTTATTTCAAA